AAAGAATTCAGATGACGGCCGTTTTGTGTCTCAGTGTCTGAGGGGAGAGAGGCCAATTCACCCCAACCCCTCCGTTAAGATACGTACCATTCTTTTATTTTTCGATTTTCAGGGGGGCAGGTGCAGCGATTGGCGCATGGTAAAGGGAACCGGCATTGGGCGACGTAATTGAGTGACGCCCCAAGGCGGGTATTGACTGGTACGTACCAGATTATTCCAGGGTTACGGGGTACTCAGCTTTTTAGACTTTCCTCCATATTCCCAATTCATATATCTCGAGCAATCCAGTGGGCACTGGATCCCTTAGATCTATTTGCCTTGTCGCCTCAATCCTTCTGGTCTTCCCTTTTCAGACCTCCAGGCCTACTATATACATACCAGGCTCGTGGTTCCTCGTTCAACCAAATTTGGGGGTTTCAACATTGTCATAGTTCATTCTTTAGTGACATTGCCCTTGTTGCATTTTTATTTTTATTTTTAAAAAAGCATCCTTCTTGGGTGATATTCTTCGAGTATTCCTTTGTCAACAGAAGACACCCAACTTAAATATTTGTCTTCCCACCAGACCCTCGGTGCTTCACCGATACTCGATCTTATCTCGCCTAAGGTTGATACTTGGGTTAAACAAGTCCGCTTTCACCGCATTTATCTACAGCTGGCTGTGACTTCCCTTCGTTCACACAATCTTTCCGGCTATTCGAGTTGACCTTGTCTGGCCGCCACAGTACATATATTCTTGCCCAGTTTTCGTGACTAACCCTTGAGCCAAACACTCCTTACTCTTGATAACGGTACCTGGCCCGAACAGATCGACTGTCCGAACATTTTACTTTCGAACTAGACTATCAAGAATCTAGCTAGTTACATTCATTCACGTTCACGACGTTTTACGATGTCTGGAGAAGCACCTAAAGGCCCCGGCGAGGGACAGGCTGCAGGATGGACGCCGGAAATGGAGAACGAGTCCCTCTCGGGCTATCTACTATTAATCTGTGAGGTCTTGGCAGGTGCCCTCATCGTATGGCGCTTTTGGTCCGCACTGGTTAAACATATCCGAACTGTCACAAGTCTGACAAACGATACGCAACGATATTACGTACAGGCGTCGAAACAATTCTCCTTCATCAAGAAGAACATACTCTACGCTCCGATGTTCAGAAAGCGACACAATCGAGAATTCCAGCTAAGCAGCGCGATCAATGTTGGCACTCTACCTACTCGGTTCCAATTCATGTTTTTGCTTGCGTACTTCACCACCAATGTGGTCTTCTGTGTCATCAACATCCCATTTGCCGACAGTTTTGATGATGCACTCAAGCAACTGAGAAACCGAAGTGGATCGTTGGCTGTTGTCAACATGCTTCCTCTATTCATTATGGCCGGCAGAAACAATCCTTTCATCGGCTTCCTTCACATGTCGTTCGACACGTTCAACTTGTTACATCGTTGGTTTGGTCGAATCGTGGCACTCGAAGCAGTAACCCATACCTTGGCTTTCTTGATCGCGGCCGCGGCGAAAGGAGGATGGGAGGCAGCTTTGAATACCGCGCTCTCGAAGCCGTTCATGATGTTTGGGTTTATCGTAAGTTTCATTAATTCCGTCTCAAGAGGAGTCTTACTGATATCTTCTAGGCCACCTGCGCTTTTGTCGCAATCCTGTTTCAAGCTGCAAGCATTGCCAGACACGCCTTCTATGAGACGTTCTTGCTTCTGCACATCGCATTAGCTGCAGTAGCGGTTGCCGGCCTCTATTATCACCTTAGTTTAGGCCAGATTGCTGCAATCAAATGGATGATGCCACTCATTGCGACATGGGTTGTCGATAGGCTTATCCGTGTTGTACTTGTCGGTAAAATCAACTTCGGCAAAGGAGGAACGAAGACACTCATAGAGGCACTCCCTGGTAATGCCGTTCGTATAACGGTGACAATGGCCCGACCTTGGGCTTTTAGCCCCGGTCAGCATGCCTATCTGTACCTACCGTCTATAAGTCTTTGGGAATCCCATCCGTTCTCCGTGGCATGGAGCGAGGAGGCTGAAGACTTGAAATCGGACAAGTTAGCTATGAATCGACAAGATGTGCTTGCTATGCGCAAGACCTCCATGTCCTTCATCGTCCGAGGACGGTCTGGGATGACTCATAAATTGTACCAAAAAGCTGCGTCGCGTCCTGACGGTCGGCTCACGACTACCTGTTGGGTCGAAGGTCCGTACGGCGGGGTGCATATGATGCATTCGTTCGGCACCGTGATGCTCTTCGCCGGCGGTGTAGGCATTACTCACGCAGTTCCTCACGTCCGAGATCTTGTTACAGGATACGCAAACAACACAATAGCCACGCGGAAGGTGGTATTAGTATGGATCATCCAGAGCCCCGAACATCTGGAGTGGATCCGACCATGGATGACCGAGATCCTGGCTATGGAAAAGCGACGCGAGGTGTTGCGCATTATGCTGTTTGTTAGCAGACCACGCTCAACCAAGGAGATTCATAGCCCATCGTCAACGGTCCAGATGTTCCCCGGCAGACCCAACATCGATACGCTCATTTCCATGGAGGCTGAGCAACAAGTGGGTGCGATGGGCGTGACAGTCTGCGGGCCTGGTGCCCTCAGCGACGAGGTCAGGCAAGCGGTGCGTAATAAGCAATACGGCACTAGCATCGACTTCATCGAGGAGGCTTTCTCCTGGTAGATGGAGTTGCTCCGCTCGCCATTTGGTCCCGACATGGTTGGGTATGGTGATGGATATTAAAAGGTCCGGCTTTACTTTGTCTTGTATTGTATAACCAACCGCCTGTTCGATTGTGCATATTCTTTTCTTTTGCCTACGACGGACGTCGCAGTTTCATGTAGATAGTTCGTGATGCCGGACAGATAGCTACCAAGGCCCAACGCCAATTGATAGCTATGACGGGATAGATCGAGAATAAAAAATGCGATCTAGAAAACATTCATTTTGAGACAGAATATTGCAAGTTACCTACTGAGAACTGAAACTCTTTGTGAAGTCATAAAGAAATATGACATTGCGTACGTGTATTTCTTGTCATGACCTTTGACTTTGCTAAGACCTGCTTCAAGTGACTTGACCACAGACATAGCTAGGAAGTAAGACTTGACCCAGCTTCTTGGTTCCATCACAACTGGACTGAGCTAGAAATATAGGTGACAACTGTATTATTGTAGATCATAACTTTTTGAGCCAACCTACATAGGTACTCAGCCCTAAATTGTTGGTGTCGGTAATGATGTTTTCCTAACACAAAGAGCCTCTCGGAATACTACGCCCCAGTTGTTACTGTCACACAACTTTCCCGCCTCCGCCCTGCAGGCAGCTAATCAAGCGAGGTAGTATCCACCTGCCAGGTGGCATCGGTGGGGTCCCTTATCGGTTGCAGCGTCCCATAGGATAACAGCATAGTATCGGTTTCAACGGGAAACTGTTCAGCGGGGTTGCATATCTCAGCTGCCACAGTACGTAGCATAGTACATGCATGTACCCCTCGGAAGGGAGATAAACCACTGCAGCTTTCCGGATGACCTCAACCAAAATACCACATTGAAATCGCGTGAGCGTGTCTTACTAGGTACTAACTTTACTTCCCACACCACAATTACTTGTACTATAGGCATCCAGTCATACACGTATCATTGATCAGTTAAGTCAACCAAAACAAAACAAAAAAAAATCAGGCAAGGTTCAAGTATTCAGAATCAAACTGATTCCCTTCCGTGACGTCTACGTTGTCACTTCTACGAGACCACTTGCGTAGCCACTCTTCTCGACCATCCTTCTTCTTAATACCGATCTACTTTATACTTTCGAGTCAAGTCAAGCAAAACCGAGAATCTCCCCCAGTCTGCATAGAATCTCTTCGGGCACGATGGGGCTTGCGTACAACACGTACCTTAACAGTAACAAGATCTACGGATGCAAGAACTGCAAGACCCACCTTGCGAATCATGACGAGATTATCAGTCGAGTACGGCATCCTTTTTTTTTCTTTTTTTCCTATTTACTCTAATATCCTCTAGCTAAACCTTTCTACCTGGTTCCTTTCTACCTGTCCATACCCAATGCCATTTGACTGAAAGGCTTACCATCTTCAAACAGAACTTCCGCGGCCAGCATGGCAAGGCCTACCTCTTCAACAACGTTGTGAACATCGATGCGGGCGAGGCGTCCGAGAGAAGCATGACTACAGGTCGCCATATTGTGCGAGACATCACGTGTAAGCAATGTAAGGAGACGGTGGGCTGGAAGTACGACAAGGCATACGAGTCCAGCGAGAAGTACAAGGAGGGCAAGTTCATCCTCGAGGCCGAGCTGCTGTGCAATGTCAGCTAGGCGGGTCTCGACTCTGGTCATTCGAACGAGGCAATATGTAGGATGAGGTCTTGCTTCACGGATACTCTAGTTGTGCCCGTATGGATTTCACTTCTCCCCTCGACTCATGAGGTGAGAGGAGGGGTAGGATGTAAGGATGGTTAGCATGACAAGTTCTCTTCTGCGACACGGTGTGCTAAGTAAGCATAGGGCATGCATAGGTTAGGAGTTACAGGGGCCCAATGGATAAATTGGCATTCAATGATTATAGACAGGGGACGGCAAATGGCACTCGTTGATTTACAAACCTACCGCGGTATTCTGAGTAGAAGAACTCTCGTAGGAGGCTTCTTGGGGGTTTAGACTGGGCTCTCTTGTCGGCGTAGGAAGCCTCCTAGGGGTTCTCTTTACTCTTTCATAGAAGTATTCTAAAGGATGGACAGTAATCCATTGCTATATGCCATTTCGATGCATTTATACTCTGCTCGTAAGAGCCATTGACAAGAAGGCTATTACGTCGTGGAAAAATAAGTATACTAAACTATAGGCATCATGTCAGCTTCCGCCTAGCTCGGAAACCTGAGCGAACTTAGTAGTGTAGACACTTCCTATACCTCAGAAGACAACAGGAAACATGTGCCACTGCAAAAATACAATAAAAAGATAATTGATGTCCTCGGTGAGGCTCGAACTCACGACCGTTGGATACACCCAATCTGAAGATTGAGTCATATTTCTGAGACCAACGCTCTGCCCGACTGACCCACGAAGACCATCTGTAAGGTCCATACTTGCCATAATCATAAATTTGCCTTAGTGATTCCACCCTATAAGTGAGCCTTGTCAGGTTTGTATCAGGGATCCAAGCTAGTTTTCTAGGCTGTGGTTTGTATGTTTAGAAGCGCTTACGTATTATATCAAACCTAGCAGCTCCTCTTTCTATACCTATCTAGAGGACTCTTCGTCATAATCTTGGATACGTCTCGTGTTAAGAACATATCGCATTCATAAAGTCTAATATAAAATATATGACATTACGTCCTCGATCTATATATAGCATTTTCAGACGGAAATGGAAAGGAGTGAAATGAGAACGTGGCGGTGTTGACGAATGAATAGAACACTAAATTCACCGCACAAGAAAAAACGAACGTAAAAAAAGAAAAGAGGAAAGACAAAGTGCCTCCAGCTTGGTGTGAACTGTCAAACTCTAGGGCAAAAATGATTGCACCCACCGGGATTTGCACTCCGGGTTTTCCCCCTATACCACTCAGTCATGGCATGTGAAGGGGGACGAGTTAACTATTGCTCCATGGGTGCCTATTTTCCAGCCATGTCTAGACTCTCCGTGGAGACATGACCTCATAAAAGACGTTATAAGACTTTGTAACTATTGTTGAAAATAGTGAAGGGGCTTGTTGGGAAGACACGAGAAACTGAGGGTTACGTTTTAGGACACCAAGTCCTACTACCTACATGTATGTATGCCTAAAATCATCCAGCATATCTCATCAACTATGGATTTTCACAATCGCATGTGTTATTATTCAGAGTATAAGTGAGTTGACGACAGGGTCAAGATCAATAGCCAGTTGTTTCTTCCAACTACGCCCCAGAAAGCGTACAAACAATATAGTTTGTTCATTAAGTTGTCCAATTTTTATCAATTAGTAAATACAATATCTACAGCTCGTAGTCAATAGTTTATTAACTTCCGGGGTATTTTGGGTCTCAAGGGGGGCCAAAAGGAGTAAAGGAGCACAAAAAATTAGCATAAGGAGGCGAAAAGGAGGTCATGCCTACCTCCCCAACATACCCCTTTTCGATTGGCAAATTAGGTGACCAACACTACACTTGTTGCCGACTACAAAGACAGTATCTCAAATACCTCTAACAAACATCCGGAGCGTCTCCTATCACAACATCTTGGAGCAAGAACCTACTAGGCTTTCGGTTCACGAAGGCGTAGAGCTAAAGATAGATATGCCTTCAATTCTTACGCCATTATCCCATTTCAACGGCAGCTTTGATAAACACGTAGATCCGGGTTTAAACTCTAAGCCAAGGTCTGTATTTAAAGTTATATATGCCAAATTGAGCGACTAATAGAACAAAATAGATGAGCGCCCCGACCAGACCTAGATATGAAGTACACACTCACTCAATAACCAACACACAATTAAACACCGAAAGACGCCGCTTTAATGCAATACTACGTATCTAAACTCACAAGCGTTCGTCTGGCCATCCAATGTGACCAGGTCCAGCCCCCATACCCGCTGGACCACGCTAAGAAGTACATGTAACAAACAATGAACCCGTCACCCCTAACTATGCTCGATCGGTTCTTCGGGGAGCAGCTCCTCGACCTCCTCCCTGGGGCGCAGGAACTCGAACGGGGGCTGGACGACGCCGTTGAAGAGGAAGGTGAAGTAGACGAGGAGCGCGAAGCCGGCGACCTGCAGCCACTTGAAGGACTCCCAGCCGAGGCCGAGCGAGACCATCCAGATGAAGAGGGTGCGGCAGCTGTCGATGGTGGAGCGCGCGGTGGCGCTGACGCTGCGGGTGACGGAGAGCCCGAAGAAGTTGAAACCTCCGATAGAGATCATGATGAGGAAGCTGGAGACGCCGATGGACTTGTACTCGGTCATCTGCCGGAACCCCTCGACCATGTCGAACATGCCGTAGCGGCCGGCGTCGGTTCGTCCCACGACGAGGTGCAGCACCAGCATGCAGATCAGAGTGACGGCAAGACCGAACAGACCTTCCCAGCCCACGACCTCGATCGGCTCGATGTTGGAACGCTCCAAGAGGAACTCCTCGAGGACGAACTGGGTAGCAGTAAAGATTTGAGCACCAGCAATCAAGACAACACCCAGCGCGGCGCGGAGCGCCTCGACAGAAGCAGCATCCTTGGCGGCCTGCTGCAAGGCGTCGGTGGCCTCGGCCTTAGTATCGGGCCAGATGACGCCGGCGAGCCCGACCATAGCGACGCCGACCACGACACCGACCAGCGACGTCCACTGGAACAAGTGCAGCTTGCGGCGCAAGAACACGACGCTGAACAGGCCCACGAACAGGACCAGGGCGCCGCGCGTCATCTGGTAGATGGACGCGGCCACCATGAACAGGCCGGCGTTGACGAGGGTGGTGCCGAGGATGTCGCAGACGGCGGGCAGCGCCAGCAGCACGATGCCGTAGCCCTTGAGCAGGCCGTCGGGGCCGGCCTTGCGCTTCTTCGGCCGCGCGGGCTCGATGAGCGGGTGTTCGGAGTTGACGCTCGCCGCGTCGTTGTCGTTGTCGTTGTCGTCGTCCGCGTCCGCGTCACCGTTGCGGACGGCCTGGTACCCGTTGGCCTTGGGGCCCTTCCAGCGGGCGATTTGCTCGTAGGTGGCCATCAGCCCGACGACGAGCCAGCAGCCGACCTCGCCGACGAACATCTGCGCCGTCTGCAGCACGGGCTGCTCGAAGGTCCTGCGGTTCTTGGGGTCGGGGTCGTCGCAGTTCCGCACGCATTGGTTGTCCTGGAACGAGGCGGTTAGCTACCTATCGTAGTGCTTATACCTAGGGTATGCTATGCTATGATAAGACAGAGGGACTTACTTGATACTTGGTCAACAGCGTGTTGCAGACCCCGGTGAGCAGCATCATCCCCACCAGGAAGGGGATGAGTGCTTTGGACGTCATCGCGACCGACTACGGATTGCCGGGGCTCTACCTAGATGATAGCCTCGTAGCAATAAGGGAGATAAGCTACGATGATGTAATTGAGAGAGTCCAGTCTCTTAGTATATGATACGGGTGTGAGAAATACAAGAAAAGGAAAATGAAAAATCTGTCTTGGTTAGTATGGTAGATGGAAGAAGCTTGATGAGCTTCTGCCAATGTTCGAAGCTCCCCGGAGTTGGACGAAAACGGTGTGAGGTCAGAGTCAATGTGTCAGGACGCAGGGACTCCCCTAGGATGTTGGCCGCGATAAGACGATAATGCTGAATCACGCATATCTTATGTAATCATAACCGCCAAGTTACACGTACTTGCATACTATGTACGTGGAAAGCTGGGGCTTATTAGAACGCTGTCCCCGCATTGGTCAGCTGGCTAGCCTTATGATATCCAGCTCGGTTGTAATTGGTTCAGTCAGAAACCCCAGACCCGACAGACGGAACTTCCCTACAATGGAGCCGGCAGGTGCTAATCCGTAAAGAAATCGCATCTCGTGAACAATTTCCCATCCATAATAGCCATCACCTGCCAGCACATTGATGCATACAACAAGAATACCCCTGAAATCTACGCCTCATTTTTATCATACACCTACTTGTCTTATTGCTTTGCAGCTCAATGATCAATGCCACTTACATCGTCTGCAGTGAATTAATTGTTTTTTTTACGGACAATAAGACAACGCATTGTGTAAAGTAGTGCTTGTGTAGCAGAGCAAACAAAGCTATTGGATATATGAGCTACGTCTGAATACATCCACCTCGGCTTCAAATTAAAGGCGGTATAGTGATACACTGCTAGAAGATATTACATGCTTGGGGGTATTATTTATGCCCGTCTATAAACCTGCCGAAACGCCCTTTTCAATCACAGAATGCTCAGTCGTATAATGCTTGTCTCTCATTGTCGGTTCCGAGACCAGAGCTCTTAGATTTGCCAAACCACTTCTTCTCCTTCTTCTTAGCGGCCTTCTCCTTCTCCGCCTCGGGGTCCTTGTCCTTGATGTTGTTGTAATGGGGAACACCTAGTTCTTGATCGCGCGCGAGACGTGCCATGTCTCGCTTGGTCAGGGGAACACCCTCGATGGCCTTGACATGTTTGCCCTCCATACCCTGCATGATACCCGCAATGGCGGATGCTATGCATGCAAGGCACACGAAGAGACCGGTCGACCAGCTGGGTCGATCGTATCGGTTCAAGGCCCACATGAAACTGGACAGTACGCATTGAAGGAATGTGTTGGCAACGTTGAAGTAGATAATGAAGTCCAACTTCCACATCTTCGTAGGAGGCGCTCGAATACCGGTTGGGGGGGCATCTGGTATAGTGTTTAGGGGGTACGGGACACTATCAATGTTGTAGTTGGCTATTTCCTCAATGTTCTTGGGTCCAATGTTCACAGGTAGTTGATCAGAACCCGCAAGACGGAACCAGCCTCGATGAACTCCAGCAAGTGTTCGTAGAGCCTTATTATCGTTACGAATGCGATATCGCAACAAGTAGTACCAGTCGCGGAATCGCCAGGGTGCAAGACCAAAGCCGGTGACACAGAAGAAACCGTTGAGTATTTGCGAATCCGTCTCGATCCAGATTCGGCGCGGGGAGTCGATGTGGTTGCAATCGTACGTGCCGTCCACAAAACACATCGCTGGTGCCGCATTGCACAGCAGCAGGAAGAGCATACCACCCCAAGCTATGACGTTGAGCGAGTAGATGGTGAGGAAGAATCCGAAACCAGTGTTGTAGAAGTTCCAGAACGAAACCAGTCCATATCGAATCTGCTCCTTTACGGGGTATTTGGGTGGGAAGTGGTATCCGTTCGCATACTCGTGCATCTGTACATTCAATGCGGCGGTGTTCGAGGCCAGCGCAGCGCCCACCCCTTCCTGCGCTTGAGTCGGCGGGATTGGTGCGCGTTGGTTTAGAGAATCATTTCGCTCTGTTCCAGTCGAGACTGTCGTGATTCGTTCGACACTGTCATCGGGGACTTCTTTAGACATCCTCGGCGAGTCCGGTGCCATCTTGGGATGACGACTCTTCCAAGTTT